TACCATGGTTGCTATATGGTCACCTGTGCCATAGTTACCGGAATAGTCGTTTGTACCATGGTTGCTATATGGTCATCTGTGCCATAGTTACCGAAATAGTAGTTTGTACCATGGTTGCTATATGGTCACCCGTACCATAGTTACGTGGTCGTTTGTACCAAAAAAATAACCGTTTGTGCCATAGTTACCTAGTTAATTTTAGTAAAACAATAGCCGTTTGTGCCAAAAAAATAGTCACTTGTGCCAAAAAAATGGTTACATGTGCCAAAAAAAATGGCCATTTTGACCGCGTTACCGACAGACAGACAGACACAGGTGAATTTCGGTTTCTAGACCCTAGCCTTTCAGTCTAGGGAATATCACATTATTAAGAAAAATAAATTTTTATTATCGTATGATCATTTGTACCATAATTACCAAGTCTATTTTTTGATCATGCTTTTACTATCATCACTGGTACCACAATCACTATGGCGATTTTCACCATAGTTATTATTTGGCCATTTGTACCACAGTTACCATGGTCATTTTGACCATAATTGTTAAATAGTCGTTTGAACCACAGTTACGATGGACATTTTAACCAAATACTCATTTGTACCATAGTTACCACGGTCATTTTGACCATAGTTGTTATTTGGTCATTTGCATCATTATTACTATGGCCATTTGAACCATTGTTACTATGGGCATTTAAACCATATGGTCATTTGTACCATAGTTACCTAGTTAATTTTGTAAAAAAATGGCTGTTTGTGCCAAAAAATGACCGCTTGTGCCATAGTTATCATGACCATTTTGACCACGTTACCGACAGACAGACAGACAGACAGACAGACGGACAGACACACAGACACAGGTGAATTTAGGTTTCTAGACCCTAGCCTCTCAGTCTAGGGAACAAAATTTTCTTTTTTAGAGCGTACCTATGAAAAACACATAATGATCGACATTTTGTTTTGTTCTTTTATAGAAAAAATGTTGATTTTTTTTGTTTTTATTAATGTAATGTACTCAATATGATCTCATATATTAAATAAGTGTTATATAGGAACAAAAATTTACAGTAGAACACATCGAAATTTGAGTACAATTACCTTTTCAAGGAATTTCATCAAGTGACTACACATATATTTTTCCACTTTCTGTATAAAAAACTTGTCAAATCAGACTTAACCATCGATTTTAGTTACTAAACACATTAAAACATGTTGATATTAAAGAAAAACGAGCTTCAATGTGTTATCTTTCTTAATACAAGAAGTCAATGAGTCATATAACATTGTTGTGCTCAATGTGTTAAAACACCATGTTATCGTTTACATGTATATATGACTTCTTTTCCACTCATGTTAAGCTGTTGAAAATATGAATCTTTTACTGACAATTGCTTTGAAAGATTACTGAGTTACTCTGATTTTTCATAATAATATACTAAAATCTATTTTAGAACTATAAAGAAACTTTGAGATATGTTTCAAGATATGACATATTCCTTAAATAGAATAATACATAAAGACTAAGATGTCAACTATTTGAAACATAATCTCTCCTGAAATGCTTGTCCTCATGTCGAATGGCATGCCAACAAATCACACAAAATTTTCAAGTGTTTAGTTGTTGTTACTAATAAAGTTTTTTTTTTTTTGTATGAAGTTCTTGTTATTCTATGAGGATCTGATAACTAAAGATATGATAAATTATTCCTTGAAATATGTCACTGAATAGATCAAAGTTTCTGCTCAAAGATGACGGTGACAGTGCAGCTACTGAATGAGACTCTAATATTGAAACTCTATAAAAGTCTGATGCTTTGACAAGAAACATAACAGAAATAAGAAAAAAAATTAAGATATTGAATATCAAAATAATCAATAAGCTAAACATACAAAGTACAGTTTCTGAACGAGTTTTTTTAGCAGCTATCATCTCACCGGAAGCAATACATCAATCCTTAATATGAATTAAGCTTTTTATTACAATATGCATCAATGTAAATGGTACATCATCGCAAATATATATACTTATACCAAATAAATTACTTGCATAATTTCTCATTGTTCAATCAATATTTTATTTTCATCTTCAATTTTCTGTTTTAGATATTAGAGTCATATACATTATCTCAAATACATTAAATATCTTCTCAACACGGTGACAGCTAATGACGATGAACGAGTCTAATGTAGAGTTGATTCAAAATAGAAATAGGCGCGTCTTAATTGAAAATTTCGAAGGTTCGAACCAAAATGCACCTATCATTGGTTATTCTCAAGAACTACTTGTATCACTTATTGAAGCTTGTAAACCATTGGTCGATATTGTTTACAATATTTTGACATACGCTACTATAGCTCTAGAAAATACTCCAGCTATTCCACCCAATAAACTGACTCGTGATGAGTCAGCTGCCATTCGTCTTTATACAATGGAATGGCACAATGAACAAATGAGTCTTTATTTCATTCTAAATCGCACTCTTCAGTACGATAATCGTGAAAAACTTCGACCTTGGTTCAAATATCTCAAACTTTTTCTCTCTGCTCTGGTTAAAATACCATGTGCACCTGTACAAACTGTTTGGCGCGGTGTTCGAAGTAATGTTAGTAATGAATTTCCTCCTGGTACTCAAGTAACATTGTGGAAGTTCACATCATGCACAACATCGCTTACAGTATTAGAGAACGATAACTATTTAGGAAGTGTAGGTGAAAGAACTCTTTTCTCTATCGAAGTCATAAACGGTAGAAGCATACGAGCACATTCGGCTTTCGGCACTGAGGATGAAATTTTAATGCTTCCGTGTACATCAATGAAAGTACAATCACAATTTATTCCTGCAGCTGATTTACATATTATTCATCTAAAACAAATCATACCAGATGAAATGCTATTAGAACTTCCATTTGAAGGTATGTGAAATATTTTTGAATATCGTGTTTTAAATTAATATTCTTGTATATACAGAAGCAAAGCTCTATCCAAAAACTAAGTAAGTTTTCTAGTTTTGCTTTTGAATTGTACTTTTGATGAAAATTTTCTTGTCTTCTGAAGGCATCAATGGTATCGCAGAAAAACTTATGTTATTTCAATAAGTGTTTCTCTAGCAGCAATCCTTCTAGCAGTTATTTTTGGGATTGTTTTGGGCTTACAATCTCACAATCATGGTATGTTTCTTTGAAGTTGACGCTAAATCATGATTTTTTCGTCGTGTCTTTGACAGTTATGCTAGCCTCTCTCGAAAGCAGTAAAGTCGTACTTTTCTGAAACGCGTTAGACTTATAGTGACGTTTTCTGTATTGAATGAAAGTATCGATAATAGCCTAGCTTGGCATCTTATGTTTATCGATGCAGTTCAATTGATTTAAGTTGTGCTCATGAAATATCGAGATTCTCTCTAAGATACGATCTACTAACTGAACCTTCATTTAAATTAATTCGATTATTTTATGATAAACGTTGGAAAGCTACTCTCGAGAACTAGCTATTCATGTGACGAGATTTTTGCTATAAGACACTTGATGACCAGCTGACCACCACCCTCGATAATGATGTTTATTAATCTGCCTCATATCTCTAACTTGTTACTACTTCACATGTAGGACACATTTGTGTAAGAGAAAGCATGATATGAAGATAAGCATTGGAAAATACAGTAGATCAAGATGAAGATGATATGAACAAGGTGGATTTGTCGAAGGGAATATCATCATAGGCATAATGTTATAGCAGCAGATCTTTTTGCAGTACTTTATCTTTTGGCAAAAATAACGGCGCAGCACATTCAGTCTGAGTTTTTTTTCTAACCGAAATCTACAGAAAGGCCAAATGAATTATGAGTATTATTTGTAGTTTAAGTGTGTTCTTATTTACTTACTTTCAATAGCAAGCATCTCATGTTTTGTAAGTTCTATCATTAACGAACTTTAATTTAGATCATAAAGGATCTATGGTCTACGACCATGCACTATAAATAACGATCGGAAAAACCGATCATGAGCGACCGTCATAGATCAAGATCGTATAGACATTTTCAAGTGGCATACAGTAGAAGTTTATTATGATTTTTTAATTGATATCGTACACAAAGTTCGTATATAGTTGTGAACGATCTCATTTGAGTCATGAATTCGATTATTTCTCTCTATCTGACCTAGTATCATCGAAATAGTTCTAACCATATAAGACAACTAAAAACTATGGTAAAAAGGATATAAGAAAAAATTTAATACTACTTGCAAAACTTTAGTAGCTGCAATATTATATTGATATGTGATGTGCCGCAAGTTTTTGCAGTCGTGTTCAATCGTTTCTTGTCGTTTTCCATAGTGAATTACATCTTAGCACTTTGATACGTGAGATCACACTTTCGCATAATGAAAAGAGTTTAGTTTACAGGTAGACTAGCAAGTTGAATAGTTCAGGACTAGCTACATGTTAGAGTTGGAAAGAGTGATCAATCGCGTTTAGAAGAATTCTAAGATTATTCACAAGACTATATAGCGAAAACTTGACAGAAAAGATGAGAGCCTCTGTGCTGTACCTCTCGATCTTGATCTGCCTTGGTGTCATCTAACATTGGTCTCGATGATACTTAGCTCAGATTCAGTTGTCTCAGTATTGTTTCATATTGAACTAGACAATATAGAAGCAACTTAACGTCGACAATTCACGTTAGTACGAGCTATTGATATTCAATTGCTTCTGCAGTCTAGGTCTATATAATTTCGGATCTATTAAAAGATTAAGATTCGATATAATCAAAAACCAGCCATTATGCTTAAAGCTCTTTTTTTTTACATAAGCATACGTTCTATTCAAGACGTAATGATTATTTCACTAAAGAGAAGATACTTTTTATCAGAATAATCAATGAACATGGGATTTTCGCGAAATAAGATTGTCAATGAGTGTTTATGTTTGGAGCAAGAAAAGTAACTACTTGCCCTTTTCTGATTTGTTCCAATGATCGCGTTATAAATATTAACATACCTTGTGACCGAGTCACAGACGTTAACAATACAGGCTATGGTGGTGAAGAGAATATTCTCAAGAGTGCTAGTTGCTTCTGTAATAGTCAATACTCGCGATGAGATTTCTCGATTGTTCACCACAAGCTGCAACGAAACCGTGATTAGTATCATCCAAGATATCACAAACACTAACTACAGGTTCCTGTTAGTCTTCCACGCATTATCTCTTCACCTGATGACCACACTGACATCCACATTCAAATCTTCATTCGCGCCTACACCCACACTCACACTCACACGTCACATCTACACCCTTCCTGAAACTTTTTAATCAATAACAGACATTCGTCTATTGTAAAATAACTTGGAATAATGATGTAGAGCGACACGAATGCATTCAAATGTACATTTTGAGTACACTTATGCGTTTTTCAAAACTTTCTTTTTAAGGACGTGGATGTGTTAATCCTTTCTCAACTATATCTGCATACGAAACTGATGGGTCTCCAGTTAATCTGGTAGCGTCTGATTTTAATAATGATCACAACATGGACGTCGCCGTGCTCAACCAAGACCTGGGAAACATCATGATACTGCTTAGCAACGCTGATGGTACCTTTCCGACACAAATCGACTACACGACTGGTGCTAACCCAATCTCCATTATATCAAGTGATTTCAACCATGATAAACATATGGATCTTGCAATTGTCAATACCTACGGAAACAGTGTAAGCGTGTTGCTTGGAAATGATGATGGAACGTTTCAAAATCATATTATGTATGCCACTGGTGTTAATCCAGTCTCCGTTATATCAAGTGATTTCAACCATGATAAAAATATGGACCTTGCAGTTGTTAATACCTATGGAAACAGTGTAAGCGTGTTGCTTGGAAATGATGATGGAACGTTTCAAAATCATGTCGAGCATACAACAGGTGCTAGCCCAATCTCCATTACATCAAGCGATTTCAACAATGATCAAAATGTGGATCTTGCAATTGCCAATTTCGATGAAAATACTGTAAGTGTGATTCTTGCCGATACAAATGCTACCTTTAAGCCTCAAATTCGATATGCTACTGGTAGGAATCCAAAGTCTCTCATATCAGTTGATTTCAACTTTGACAATCATACGGATCTAGCAGTAGTCAACGGTAATGATAATAGTGTTAGCATACTATTTGGAAATGGCAATGGTTCATTTCAGTCTCAAATAGTATATGAGACTGGTCACTTTCCATTTGCTGTGATTTCAGGTGACTTCAATAATGATAACAAAATCGATCTATCAGTTGCAAACTATTATGATCATACTGTAAGCGTGCTTCTTGGCAATGGAAACGGTACCTTTAAGCCGCAAATAATTTATGCTGCTGGTAGCTTCCCCACGTCACTAATATCAGAAGATTTCAATAATGACAACAACATGGATATTGCAGTAACAAATTCTTACGAAAATACAGTGAGTATTTATCTTGGTAACGGAAATGGTACGTTTGAAAAGCAAAAAAAATTTGTGACTGGTAAGCAGCCTTTCTCTTTGGTATCAACCGACTTCAACCATAATGGCAAAAAAGATTTGGCATTGGTGAACTTTGACGATAATATTGTGAGTGTATTGCTGGGCAGAGGAGATGGTACATTTGAAAGTCGAATCAAGTTTGATATTGGCAGTTATCCAAATCAGATGGCAATCACTCATTTGAACGATGATAACAAACTAGATGTTGTTGTGATCTATCAACTTGAAAGTAGTCTTACTGTACTACTTGGCAATGATAATGGAACGCTTCAAACTCTAATTCGGTACCCAACTGGTCTCGGTCCAAGTTCAGTGGTCGCGGGGGACTTCAACAATGATAACAAAATGGATCTGGTAATTGCCAATGAAGGTGAAGACACCGTCAGCGTATTCATGGGACATGGGGATGGCACACTTCAGACTCAGAGAAGGTTTGCAAGTGGTAAGCGCCCATCAGCTGTTAGAACAGCTGATTTTAATAATGACTACAAAATGGATCTTGCAGTCGCCGATGGAGGTGATAACGCTGTTAGCATACTGCTTGGTAATGGAGACGGTACCTTTCAAGTTAACATTCAGTATGCGGTTGGCTATATTCCACAATCTATAGTAGTTGCAGATATTAATAAGGACAACAAAACGGATCTAATAGCGATCAACTCGGGTGAAAAAACTATCAGCGTTTTATGCGGTAATGGAGATGGAACGTTTCGATCTCAAGTAAAGTTTAATACTGGTTACAACCCAACCAATGCGGTAGCAGGTGATTTGAATAATGACAACAAAATAGATCTAATAGTGTCTAACTACGTTGATCATAGTATCAGCCTACTATTTGGTGTTGGAAACGGAACGTTTATGGATCAAATAAAATATGTGCCAGGTGGTTCAGTTAAATCGCTGGTATCAGGCGACTTCAACTATGATAACAAGTTGGATCTGGTAATACTCGATAATACTGGAAGTGCCATCTATCTACTTTTTGGCAATGGAAACGGTACCTTTCAGAGACCAGAAAGGTATACAACTGGCCAAGGGCCGAATGTTATAAACTCAGGTGACTTTAACAATGACAATAATGTTGATTTAGTGGTGGTTAATAGGGCTGAAGATAGTATAAGCATTTTTCTTGGAGATAGAGATAGACCCTTTCAGACTCAAATAAAGCATGTTATAGTCAGCTATCCAACTTGTATGACTTCAAATGATTTCAACCATGATAATAGCATAGATCTCGCCATTGCTTATGGTGTTGGAAATGCCGTTGGCCTGCTGCTAGGTAATGGTGATGGCACTTTTAAGGCTCAAATTAAGTATACTACCGGAATGTTTGCTGCCTCAGTGATATCAGACGATTTGAACAATGACAACAACATAGATCTGGTAGTGGCTAACTTCGATGAAAACACAGTCAGCGTGCT